TGATGATTGTTTAGTACGACTTGCAAAAAATGATGGTATATTGCCAAAAAATTTTTAATTTATAATTATTTTATTCTTTCAATAAAAATATGAAAAAAGCTGATACAGTGTATATTATTGCATTGAACTAATTGTGTTTATAACTTATAATTTTGTTATACATATATATATCATTTATTATATGATTTGTACATAGAGTTTTACATATGAAATAAGGGATCATTATATACATATATATGATACATAAAGATAAATTTTTAAATATTTCATGCTTCTTATGATGAAACAATTTTTTTTCACTAATTCCATTTCAAAAATTATGTATGCAATGATCATATAAAAATAAAAATCATTTTAAAAAATATAGTTGTATATGTCAAGAAAGTATGATTTGAAATATTAATATTTAACTGCATTCAACAAAAACATTTACAAATGTGTTAAAATATGTATCCACTTTAAACTTTATATTGTACATATAACATCTTGGATAATAAGAATTAGTATAAATCCTTAAATATTTTGAAGAATTACCTATTAAAGAATATTCTTTAAGGACGTATATGATATAAATATAGCTTTAATTGATTATTATATTATTTTAAAATCTCAATTTATCACATACTAATTGTTATTATAGTTGTTGGTAATCAAAGGTTATGTAATCATATTTTCCTTTTTTTCATGTCTTAAAATTTTTTGTAAATTTATGAAATTAGACATTTATATTAATTGAGTAAAAATATTTTTTAATTTTGTGCACATTACTCATATATATTGTAATTGGGAAAATATTGAAACTTGTAAGAGATTTAATATGCTTTAATTCTAAAAAATATTTTTATTATATGTTATAGTATCATTTACCGGGAACTTTATTTTCAAGCATGAATATTGTTAAAAAGTGATGGAATTGATTTGGAACTAATACTTCAGAAATATTACCCTGAGTATAATCCTATTGATGCCATTTTTTGTTCTTAATTAGTATGATTATTATATTATATGGTTAGGCCAATAAATCTATATATGTTTAAAGATTAGTATTTTTGAAAGAATAAGTAATTCTCAATCACACATGCAGTAAAATTTTATCTTCGTAATAAACTAGTACATGCTTACTAAAAAAAAAAAAGAGTTTAGAGAATTAAATATTTTTGATATCTATTTTGATAATAATAAAAAATAGAATAGTATTATGTAAAATTTAAATTAATGATTTAATAACTTGAATTAATACGTTGGAACATACTTTAATTTTTTTTCAATTTTTTAAAATTAATTACTATTTTCTTACAAAAATGTCTTTTTTGGATTACAAACTCATCTTTTTTAACTAAGATTTATTTGTCTAATTGCAATAAATGTAGAAATTTCATTAGGAAATGAAATTACTGGTCAATCATTCAAGACAATCTATGACTTTATAAATTTCATATATATCTTACACTATTTTTATACACAATTAAGCCTGTATATCAAACGTTTAACACAGGAGTGTCTGATAAGGAATGAACGCGATTGAATCTACGATTTTTAAGAGTTGTAATCGCTTCAATAAGATCTACTCTTTTACTAAAAAAGTCAACTATAGCTTGACCTGTTAAGGCAGATGCCAAGAATTGTTCGACACTTATTGACCAATCTGGACCAGTAGACGCAACTACATTCGATGGATTTCCATTGCGATCATGTGACTAAAAATTGTGATTTATGTAAAATTTATAATGTACTATGAGATTACTTATTCAATATAAATGTGTTACCCGTTCTGCAGCTGAAGGTGTTTGTTGAGCAGCAATAGCAGCTAAAAGTAAACTGTCTTCAGACTCATCTCGACCGACGTAAAATTTTTTACTAACATCGCCTAATTGGAATAAAAGTGTACCTGTTGAAAATATTTATTATTTAATATGAGCTCAAATGTTAATAACACAAATGTTGATGTGTGATATAATTTACCTATTGAAGCTATACAATGATAAGTTTCTTGTTCTTCTGGTTGTGCAGGGAACATGTCATAAAGAGTTTTCCATAATACAATGAAATGTCCTTGTGACATTTTTGGCACAGTTTTAAGATCTAATGGACTATCTTTAGATGCTATCATGGAACGTAAGCTACCCATACTTTGAACCTCCCATGATTGATCTCCTTGTTGGCTGGTCAAACTTGTCGATCGAGATAGAGTGCCAATACTTGGTTCTTCTCCTACACTAATTGGCATTTCTAAAGAAGCAACGCTTTGTTCCATACTATCAAAAAAGTCTGTAGCTTCTGCTGCTACTTCAGCACCATCTAATAATGATTGAACTTATTCAGTAAATAGTTTCTTATTATAATACTTCTAAGTATAAAATACTTACCAGAATGTGTTGGCGATTCAAAATCAACAGGTGTAAGTAGTGGCGGTAAGTGTAGAGTATATAAAAGTTTCAATCTTTGTGTTAAATCTGCAGTTGCTGTCATACCAATTGCTTGTACTAATTCTCGAAAGTTCAGTAATCCATCACGATTACGATCCATTAACTGATAGTACAATAGTACTTATGAACATTTTCTGTATTTGCTTGATCTTATTCAATAGAATTAAGATACAAATGGATATTAATTCCCTAATATATTCTATTATTTTTCATTGTTTTTGTTCCCACTATAGATAACTAATTTAAATATAAATGATTATTTTGTAAAATTCAATTAACTTACACGAAATAATCGAGCGGCGAGAGATTCAGCTTGACTGCATTTTCCCCATGGAGATAAGCCACCAAATAATATTCTAAACAATTCAAAATCTACTTTATATGCCTCGTAAGGTGGCTGCGTTGGATCATAACGATCAGGTTCAGATTTTCGTTGACTCATTAATTCTTCCCTTACTAAACTTAATAGATCCTATATAGTGATACATATCATTGTATTTTAAGCATTCACATTTTTTTATATATTTTTAAAAAATATATTAATAATACCTGTAATTCTTCCATTGTCATATATTTATCAACAATAACACTTCTAATTACATTTTTCTCAATTCCATCTTCTAAACTTTGCACTACTCTGAGCCTGTGTTTTAAACGAAGTCTTTCTATACCACCAATAGTTAAAGATCCATATCTTGAATACGCTTCATATATTAAAGTTTGAACAGATATACTCTAAAATAATAGAAATATAAATAGAATCATGAATCTTTGTAAATTAACTGATGCATAAAAGTGTTTTTACTCTATTAGGAGCAGCATTATCAACTGGTCTAGGAAGTATAAGTCCTTCATCATTGTATACACCTCCAAGGTAATCTGTTAATAACTGCATTGCTTCACCATCATCACGGCAATTTAACAATTTATCTTGATTCCACTCCAGCACTGTCAATGCTATCTGACACAGGAAGAAAGACCTGTTTACTTCAAATTTCTTCTGTATGTATTTTATTCTGTATTCATTAGAAAGGATGTCAATAAAATTCAATATTTCGACTAATAAAAAATACTTAAGGAGCTAAAAACAAAATATGTGTACATAAAATATGTTGTACCTGGAAAATTACTTTTGCTCCATCATAGAAAAAGCAATCCATTATATTTACTGCGCTGCTAGTTGGCATGACACTTAAAAATATAGTTAAGAACCATGAAAGTGATATAACTTTAATGAGACCAAGTTCCTGCAATCTAGCATGTAAAGTTGGTAAATGTTCTGCAGCTAGTTCTTCTAAAAGACCTTGGTCAACAAGAGCACCGACCACTCTTCTGTCATAATAATCAGGTAATAACGATTCACATACATTACATAACTGCCAGAATGCAGATTCTTCTGAACAATAGATCAATAAAACCGAAGCTACTATATTCATGGCCTGACAATAACCTGTTTCAAGACAATTAATTTAAAAATTTTCAAAAGCTTTTGATGACAACAAGTGAAATTTTTACCAATTTGAGGATTTTTCCAAGCATATGCGGAAAGAACTCTCCTTAAAGCACTGATACCAGTATCGGACTGAAATGCTGGATGTTCCGGTAGAGATCGATGTAAATCTCGTTCTATTTCTTCATTTGCTTGACAGGATTTACCTAATGATTGGTCAACTAAGGATTTATAAAGTCCTGGATTCATTACCATTTCGTTCAATGCACCTAGAAATAAATTTCTATAAGGTATAATATATATTGCACAATTACATGATATGGTTATGATTGTGTTTACTATATTACCTGAAAAAGTAAGCCAAACTTCTCCTCTAAGAGACTGTGGTATACCCTGAATTATAAGTTTTGCTGTTTCTGTTGTTCTATACATTGTAATACCTCTGCCATATTCTGCAAAATGAAGTTCCCATTGTTTTTCTTTAGCTTCTTGTTTCAATGCTGCTTCACTACTTAATGGAGCTTTAAATAAAGTCATTAATGGTGGTTGTGGCTTCCAATCATTAACAATTTTAGTTTTCTCACTGTTATTAGATAAACTATTTTGAGAAAGTACATGATCCACGCTTCTATTTTAAAACAGAATATACCAATTGTAATATAGTTATAAAATTATAACGTCTCAACTAAGAATATTAAATGAATACTTACAAATTTGACATTTTAGATTTCGCTAATAATTCAGATATTTTTTGAACAACAAAATCTCGATCGTGAATTTGGGCGAATAAAAATGACGAGCGAGCAGTTGTCACTAGGATAGATTTGTCTATTCCTGTACTGGGTGACTGATTTTCAGCAGGCTCAATAAGCCTTACTTCTCTTAATGGTATAACTAAACTTACTAGTCCTCTTACCTAAATTGAAGTGAATATTAATCACGTTATTAAACATAAATTGAAGTATATATATGTATAGAATACATATATATTTATAACAAACCATACATTTACCCTGCTTTCAAAACAAAGATAATTTTGGGAGAGAAATATTTTTCCCCAGACATATCTTTTGTTGTATGGTGTCCATAATGTTGCATCAATACTACCGTCTAATTTTTCGCTTCCTGGCAGTCTGAATTGTAATCTGTAAGCTTCAGAATGTGCTCTTGCATCAAGATCCCTTTTTAAGAAAGATGGCTTTTTAGGTACATTTTTGCTGCAATAATTACTAATGTAGTTATGTATATATGAGTTTTACTCAGAAGTTTCAAAATAGTTTCAAATACCTTAGTTTATTTAATAATTCTCTATCTTCGTTAAAGCCACTTTTTTCGTCTATAAGTCTAGCAAAAATAAAATAATATTAATTTATTAAATATATTTTTCTTATTTTTATTATTTTTATTTTTTTTATTTTCTTATTTTTATTATTTATTGTATATAAATATTACCTTTTCATAGCAATATTTGTAAGCTGTTCCATTAATGAATATGTTTCTGATTTATGAAGAAACATTGAAAAATAATGCTGCAAATAAAATAGAGAATTGTTTGCTAAGGAAATTATAATAACTATAATAATAAATATCATAGTACTTTACCTCTTTATTGTCTCTAGTTACAACACGTATACTATCTGGAAATAAGATGGAATTAGTTTTACTTAATTCAGTAATGTCTGCCCATCTTATAATTAATTTCGTTTCTCTTGCCAAAATATAAGCATAAAAACACATATGATTTATTGATAAGTATAGCCATCCTTGTCTAGGCAAGCGAGATTTCCAGTAACTAAAATGGTAAAATATTGTGAGAGTTTCTTAATTTTACTGAAAATTTATATTTTTTTTAAGTTAATTATACAAGTACCTGCATGAATAATAATTGACCAATTTATCCTCTTTTGATATATTGAAAAGTTGATGAAATTTAAAAGACACAGTTTTAAATGACTCTGGATCCTCTTCTATGGACAACATAAAGTTTAATATCATAAAAGAAATTTTAATTCTTAATTAATTTTATAATAAATCATTTACCATCAGCAAATTGACAGTCTGGTACACTGTTTGCAATAATGGATTGTATTTTACAACAAACAAACTCAGTTATTTCTTCTTCGGTGTCAAATGATGTTAAAGTATCCATCAAATTGGAATGAAGCCATTCCCAATCTTGTAAAATTTCTTCATGTGTTAAGGAACATGCAACCGCTATATAAATTAGAAACATTATATTTATAATTTTTTATATTAATATACATCTGTGTAAATCACAAAAAAATTACAAGTTAGCTAATTTAAATTTATTTATATCGTATCTTACCCCAATAAACTTCTGATGATGGTGTTTGATGTAATATTCTAAATGGTGGAGGTTTAGTGTCAAAAACACTATCCAATGTTCCTACCAATATAGAAGTAATGCCTTTTGCCTTTCCATGTCCTTTACGGCGTTGTAAAACAAAATATACAGTTGCTTGTTCTGTTACCCTACATAATAAAGATAAAATCATTGAAAATCTAGATATGAGATGAATTTTTTTGTCAAAAATGTAACAAAATACTATTTTTCAAAGTACAAAAAAATAAAAATCGTACAATAGATGAACTTTTCATTATAGAATCAATATGTCGTAAAAAATGTAATAAAGATATGAAAACTAAATTTCAGTAGTAAAGGCTGTAATTTTTATTTGTTTGTGATAACTTTATACATAATTTTATATTTATATAAATATGCATATCAATGCAATTTTTCAGTATATATTTTATTTATAAGTATCATTGAAGAGGGATGAATTAATCTCGTGGCGAAATGATTCCAATGTACAACGTACATGGTATATAATGTAAAAAAAATACAGCAACGATTTACAATTTTTACAATGTTTGAAACTTCCATTGGTAACAACTAAAGAATACGTAACATCCAGCATCGTAATATCATATAGATACATTCACGAGATGTAAATAGATACTGAGAAAAAAGTGTCAAACCGATTAAAAAATATTTATTTCTCTATTCAGAAGAGTATGTAGCAATAAATAAACGCATAAAAATTGGTCGTATTTTTATGTGTATGTTTGTCAGCTGTCTTTGACATACGATGTAAACAGTAATTATAACAGAAGATTGAACATTGTATACACATATCAATTTACCAAAGAGCGTTTGCCAATAAAACTTCTTGTGGCTTCACCCACATATTGACCACCGTTCTTCCAGTACATATGGCACTAACGATACGAATTCAAGCAGTTTATCCAAGACACTAGCAAAATTCGCTGCCAGCAGTAAAAAAAATACTTGCCAAAGATAAACACTAATATGAACTTCACTACGAATCGGCAAACTGCGTCAATTACTGTGATTTTGCCATACTATCAACTTCAAATGTCACTATGCATTCAATATTTTTGTTTTGCAAAAAGATTTCTTGCCTTTTGAAAAAGCTTTTTAGTATCTCTCATACGTTATACAAATTAAATGAGATGTACGATTGTACAATAATATTACTTTGATGTATATATAATTATATATAAAGTTTGTAACGAAGCAGTTGTAATATTTTTAAGATAATATCTTTTGTAATTGTGATTGATAACACGTTAAAAGATTTTGACACTGCTTAAAGTATGCGAATTAATTATTTTTATTTTACAATAAATATATATATCATAGATAGATGTCGCTACAATTTCTAATTCATGTGAATTCGTGTAAGTAATAACGACGATACGAACCGAACTAGGTTACGTACTCTCGGAAGATTTTTCATTGCAGAGAAAATGGCGTCTCTCGCGGGAGTTCGTATTTTAATAAGAAATACCGGTAAATTTAGAAATCCGATCAGTCGAACATGTTTACGAAGTGTTGTTACACAACTTCAATCAAACGAACGATATTTTCACTGCAAAAGACAAAGTATTGTCACACTTGTACCACAGGTAAACACTGCTCTTTTATGATTTTCATCAATTCTTTCCGATGGTTCATATACCGCATTTCAATTTAAGTATTATGTAATCAAAATAATTCAGATTTCGATAAAACAACGAATATAAGTTAAGTCTTAAACATGAGATTCGCAATATTGATTCTGTACGTTATGTCTTAACTAAATTGAATACGCATAATGTGATTGAGTAAGTAAAATAATGTCCAATCTTGCGACACCAAAATATTCAAATTTTCTGTCATCCTTTGAGAATATATATTATATGACAAAATATGTCGTATTGTGTAATAAAAATCAATACTTTGCATATATGTTACAATTATAATTATCATTATTTATCTTATGATGTTTAGATAATATATAATGATATTATAAATGCAGGAAAATATACAATCTGTACGTACTTACAGTACAAACCCTGAAACTAAGAAAATTGAAGAACGTGTATTGAATGTAGTCAATGCTTTTGATAAAATAACTACTGATAAGGTTGTATAATATATACGTTTTTAAAAACTATTATTTTACAGGGCACACGAGTCAAGCAGGTGCGTCAATACAGTATTGCTGAGCCAATGTCACTTGATCTTATTCGCAAGCGTATATTTTTGGTACTCAATCTGTATGATAAAATTGATCCTCAGAAGGTATCTATTCACAAGAATAATATAACACATAAAAGATACTTGTGAAGGTGTTTAGCAAATCTGATTATAAAATTTTCAATTTGCAAAATATAATTTTAAAATTTTAATATTTTCTGTGAAATTATATATAGCAGTATCATTATTGATGTTTTATATTTGTTGAAACACCTTGATAGATAGCTTCTCAGAAAAAAAAAGATTAATTAACACCTCGCTTGAATCGTAATGTCCTTGTAATAGATTCATATATCCTATTTATCTATTTTTGAAGTACATTATAATTAAAAATTTCATATTTTATGCAGTTATCTTTGGATTCTCATTTTATTGATGATCTGGGTTTGGACTCTTTAGATCATATAGAAGTTATAATGGCCATAGAAGATGAATTTGGCTTTGAAATACCAGATATGGATGCAGAAAAACTTTTACGACCCGCAGATATAGTACGTTACGTAGCAGATAGACATGACGTTTATGAATAAATATTCACATATTATATGTCATCTCATTAATCAAGCTTTTTTATTTTTAAATCATTGTATAAAAAATTTCAACCTTAAAATTTGAACTTTATTTCTTCTGTATATACTATAAATTGTAGTAAAAATAAAGTGTTTCACTAGATTAAATTATGTATTATACTGCCTTGTATTTAATATGAAATAAAGAAAAGAATACGTTTATTGAATATTTTTCTTCCATGCGTTCATATATATATATATATATATATATATATATATAT